TTGGTTATTCCTCTTTCAGTAACCTTTTCTAGGTTACAACAGTGCATGTTCAGTCATTCTGTTAGTTTGTGGATGGTAACTAGTCATGTGCAATCTAGAGAAGCCAACTAGTGAGGCTATCTCTGAAAACAATTTGCTCTCAAACTGACTACCACAGTCGGTTATCACGTGAAGTGGAAGGCCCCAATGTGCTCTTATACCAAGTAATGGTTTACTTTGATCCATTTAGTTCTGTGGTCAATACTAGTGAACATGTATCTGTAAGGAGTATAGTATGTTTCATAACATCTAGTAACAGAGAGTGGACCAATTATATCCAAGTTGATCATATTAAAGCAAATAGTAGGCAATACAATAGGGTGAATATCAGATCTAGTATGTCTCTGAATTTTGTTTTCCTGACAAGTTTGACATTTGTTACACATTTATTTTATTGCCTTGTCCATATGAGGCAAAAAATTCTTGTTTTGATAAGTTTATACAAGGTTTTAATTCCTGGGTGTGATATTGCATGAATACTATTGAAAATAGATTTGTGTAATTCACCAGTTATATATATAGTCTGGGAACAACAGCAGCATTATCACTATATATGGAACTATTATTATCAGTACTAAAATTGTACTTTTTTAAGTCTAGAAATTTTTAAACTCAGGGTACTTAGGTTGTGTAGCAACTATAGCTAGCAAGTCACATACCATAACTGCTAAGATAGGTCAAGACAAGCAATCAGCTGTAATGTTTTGATCTCCCGTTATGTACCTTATGTCTGATATATATTCTGTGAGAATTGCTAATTGCTGTCTATCTGACTTAGCAAGGTTTACACTATGGAATGTATCACACAAAGGCTTATATGTCAGTTAATAATAAAACTTGTTTTCCTTTGATAATATGTCTAATATATAATGTATAGCTGAACATACTGCAAAAAGTTCCTTATTGAACGCCAAATACTTGTTTGAGTTAACTTTTTAGAGATGCCTATAGGAATTGGTGCTCCTTCTACTATTTGATGTAGGTCTGCACCAATTGCATAATTACCATACTAATCAACTGATATTGAGTACATTCAGACTATTGTTGATCTAAAGACAGAAATTCACTGATTCTGCTTTTAATATTGTTAAATGATTGCAATGCAAGTCATTTAATGTAAATGTAGTTTTACTGCATATACGTATTTTTTCTGTTAATGACATGATTATGTCAGCAAAGTTTGAGATTAATTTTCTATAAAAATTTACCATGCCTAAGAAAATGCAAAGTTTCTCACTGTCCTTAGGAGGGGGAAAATTCTGTAATGCACTAATATTATTTTCTGTAGGTCTAATACTGTCAGAGCTAATATTATAACACAAAAATCAACTGAAGTCACATCAAATGTTGAGTTTGTTATTGAAATTTTTAGATTATTATTCTGTAGGATTCTTATAAGTTTCAACATCTTTTATGTGTGATGAAGAATCATTGCATGAAAATAAGAACATCATCAATATATGTAAATACAGAGTCAACATGTTGAAAAGTTTTATCCATGTATCTTTGAAAAGTGGATGCTATATTCTTTAGTCCAAATGGCATGTATTTGTGCTATCTGAGAGAAGAAATAAGTGCTGTTTTTTTTTTTTTATATCATTTTGGTGTATTTTGATTTGATGGTATGCTGATAGCAGGTCAATTTTGCTAAATCTTGTTTTGTTGGTTAGTTTATCAGCAATTGAATTAATGTTTGGGATGGGGTATTTATTGCTTTTTGTAATACTTTCTAATGCATGGTAATCACCACAGCATCTGAAATTTCCATCTGACATTTTAACTATTTATAGGGGGCTGGCCCATTTACTGTCATTAATTAGCAATTTTGAAAATTCCCTCTTTACTCCCTGGGTTTTCTCTTCTGATAAATGTCTAGCCTTGGCAAAAGTAGAATCATGACAACCGGTATCAATTGTATCATATTTTAAATTTTAAATTTAATCTGTGGACATCAGTTTCTTGTTTCATTCATGTTTTTGCACTTTTATATATCTAAATATGTCTACGTGTTTGCGTATTATAATCTGATTGTGTATGTATTGTCTTTTGCAAGATTTCATCCTCTCCTGTCCATATCACAACTTCAAATGTATCCCAAGTTGTAAAGAAACTTTGCATCCCCATTAGATTAACGTTTATTCTGAGATTTTGGCTTTTCAATTAAAACAAAATAAATGATAAAATGTATATGTATTTTTCCTCAGTTTCTTCTTTAAATAATTTTGTAATATTTTAAACTTAATACAGATTAAATTTAAAATTGGTAATTTTCAAATTTATAGTAAAATTTAATATTAATGAGTTAGAATGATTTCTGTTATAGTCTAACCCCAACATTAAGGCATTTATTATTATAACCAAGGTTCGTTGTCAAGTTTTTTGAATTCTCACATACTTGTATTTTGATTGGTCATTGCAGCTTATGTAACAACAGTGTTTCCCCTATCAAGGGGTGTTTGGTCAATTTGAACCTTTTAAAACTCTGTGTTGAAAAAAATGGCTATTTTTGTAGTAATTTTAAAACATATTTATGTTTGCTCTACTCTATATTGAGCAGTCTTTTAAGAATAGTATTTTTGGTTTTTGGAATTTATTCCGTATACACCAATCCTATACTTGGAGATATATGTATGTATATATAATCAAAATTTTTAATACAAAGCATGTATCTATTTTCAAAAGATTATGTTCCAAAAACAATATGAATTTTTGTACTTACCTGTTTGGTTTGTCATGAACCTGAATGCATGCATCCTGTTAACTTCATGGAATGAAAGAGAGAGATTAACTTTTCTGCCTAACAATGTCTCATGGAGGTCTCATCAGGTCACATGACTGCTTTTTATTCTTGTGAATATTTATAATTAATTTTTATTGCTATTTTTGTTTTGATCAAGGGGAGATAACTTTTAGTCTCTTACTACAGATATATAATATCATTCAAGATGAATGAACATAAAAAAAAGTTTTTTTAATTAATTTTTGAAGAAATATCTTTGCAAAACATTAAATACTTCCTTTATTAAAAGAATTTCTAATTTTTATCTAATTGGTTTAGTCTTTTAAAGTTTTAAATTTTCATGTTTTTTAGTAAAGAAGGGCACAGAAACTATCTCTTATACAAGTCAGATCATATCTCTCACAGCCATATTTAAATGGCATTATGATAAGTCTTAAGATATAGTATTTGTTTAAAAGCATTGTATTTAATCAGTTTTGAAGTATTATTATATAGATTAAAACTTTCATAGGCTTATTCAAATGTCATTATGATAAGTCTTAAGACATAGTACTTGTTGAAAACCATTGTATTTAGTCAAAGTATTACTAGTCATTATAAAATGATTGTATTGGTTCTTTACTTAAAAAGTTCATTTAAATCGGATTTCAGAAAAATAAAGTTACTGTGAAATAATATTTTGGAGTGGAGGTGATAGATATATTGGCACTAATTTTTATCCTATTGTAGTCAGATGTCAGAGTCACATTTCAGCCTTGATGTATATGATTGACCTCAGGTATTTTTGTTACAGTAAGGTTCACCCTTCACAAGGCCAGGTGGCCACTCAAGATAGAGGGTTATATTAGCAGGCAATTTGTGCAGATAAGAGTGGAAGATAATGGTTAACTCTAGCCTTGAACAGGTTAAGACTGTAGTAATTTGAGAAACATCTTCTTGGGACTTGATTCCACAGAGCAGTGGTTTGCGGGTAGATGTTATTAGATTGGAACTTACTTCTCACCAATATAATACAGAAGAAATGTGGATGGTTGCTACTATGTAAGTGGCATGATATGTTCTTGCTGAGAAAGGTTTGAATTGGTGGGACCAGGGACTGTAGTTCATCTGAGAACATTCTGTAGAAGTGGTGATAGATTTGTCACATCTCACCTGTTAGAGAGAGGTTGAAGAATAATTTGTTACCAACAAGAGCTTGGAGACACTTTTGGACTGTATCAAGCTTGAAGAGTGGGGTGTGGGCAGCTCCTGCCCAAATATGACAACAATACAATTTTTGGCTTGATCTGGCTCTTGTAAAGGTAGAGAATAGTGGGAGGAGTCGGGTACTTACTAGAGCGGTACAAGGTTTTACCTGCATCCTTAGCAATGGATTATATGTACAAGTTCCACTTGAGGATAGCAAAAGAGATTGCTTTCAAGACAGAGACTGCATATGATTACATCTTGTACACTGACAATGTAACAGAGAAATGAGTCTAGTGGTATTGCAATGTACTGCTGGAGTGCCATAGGTTATTGATAATGATGCTATGATCACCAAACTATGCTTGACCCTAAAGGTCATCAGTTGATGAGTGTTTTTTTGAAAGTAACACTATTGTGGCAGTAGTTGGTGTAAGAAAATTATTTTGTGTAACACTTTTTACAAAATGAAGGGCTTATAGCCATATCACGTTCAAACACTTGTTCTCCTATGATTACTGAAGTTAAGCAATGTCAAGCCTTGGGATGGGTGACTATTTTGGAATACCAGCTACTCTAACCTCTAATGTGCAGGTAGTGTAGGGTTTATTGCAATAACATGTTAAAACACTGGTTCTAGTACAATCAAGTTAAACAATGTTGAACCAGGTTATTACTGAGATGAGTGACTGCTTGGGATTACCAAGTGCTGTATGTTTGGATGTGTGGGTGGTATAATGGGTAATGGCTTGGAAATTGGAGAGCCAAGTTCCATTTCCAATTAGATTCATTATATTCATTTCCATGCAAATACCTTTGGCAAAAATATGAACCCAGCTCTCCCCAGCTATGTGTTAAATAGTATGAATTTTTGATAAATCATTATCATCTCCCAAAAATTCTCACAATCTAAAATATTTTACAATTTTAAATAACCTGCAAAAGTTTGATAAGCTGTAAAAAACACAATCAATCACAAAATACATTGATACTTTACAGATCATCGCCACACATGCTGAGAACCAAGAGTTTGATTCTAGGCAAGGAGAAGAGAGAGAATAATGAGGAAAAGAGAGAAAATGTGAAAATGTAAGGGAGAGAAGTAAGGAGAGTAGAAGGAAATATGATAGTGTGAAAGAGAAAAAATAAGAAAACAATACGAGAGAGTGAAAGAAGAAATGTGATAAAGAGAGTGGTAGATAAAGGAAAGAAGGAAAGAATGAGGAAAGAAAGAAGAATGTAATTTGATAAAAGAGAAGTGGTAGATAAAGGAAAGAAGGAAAGAATGAGGGGAAAGAAAGAAAGAATGTAATTTGATAAAGAGAGTGGTAGATAAAGGAAAGAAGGAAAGAATGAGGAAAGAAAGAAGAATGTAATTTGATAAAGAGAGTGGTAGATAAAGGAAAAAAAGGAAAAGAATGAGAGGAAAAAGAATGTAATTTGATAAAGAAGTGGAATGAAAAAATGAGGGAAAGAAAATAATTTGATAAAGCAGATAAGGCAGATAAAGGAAAGAAGAAGGAAAAGATAAAGAATTGGAATAAAAAGGAAAGAATGAAGGAAAGAAAGAACTTGATAAAGATAAAAGGTGGCAGATAAGGAAAGAAGGAAAGAATGAGGGAAAGAAAAGTAATTTGATAAAAGAGGGTAGATAAAGGGAAAAGAATGAGAAAAGAAATTTGATAAAAGAGAGTGGCAGATAAAGGAAAGAAGGAAAGAATGAGGGAAAAGAAAGAAGAATGTAATTTGATAAAGAAGTGGCAGATAAAGGAAAGAAGGAAGAATGAGGAAAAGAAAGAAGAATGTAATTTGATAAAAAAGAGTGGCAGATAAAAGGAAGAAGAAGGAAAAAGAAAATGAATTTGATAAAAGAAGCAGATAAAGGAAAGAAGGAAAGAATGAGGAAAGAAAGAAGAATGTAATTTGATAAAGAGAGTGGTAGATGAAGGGAAAGAAGGAAGAAAGAAAGAAAGAAGAATTTGATGAAAAAGAGTGGTAGATAAAGGAAAAAAAGGAAAGAATGAGGGAAAGAAAAGAAGAATGTAATTTGATAAAGAGAGTGGCAGATGAAGGAAAGAATGAGGAAAGAATGATGAAAAGAGAGTGGCAGATAAAGGAAAGAGAAAAGAATGAGGAAAGAAGAAAGAGTAATTTGATAAGAATGGCAGATGAAGGAAAGAATGAGGAAGAATGTAATTTGATAAAGAGAGTGGCAGATAAAGAAAGAAGGAAAGAATGAGGGAAAGAAAGAAGAATGTAATTTGATAAAAGAGTGGCAGATGAAGGAAAAAGAATGAGGGAAAGAAGATAGCAGAGTGGAGATAAAGGAAAGAAGGAAAGAATGAGGGAAAGAAAGAATGTAATTTGATAAAGAGAGGGTAGATGAAGAAAGAATGGAAAGAATGGGTGAAAAAAGAATGTATTTGATAAAGAAGGAAGAATGGGAGAAAAGGAAAGAAAGAGAAAGATAAAAGGAAAGAAAGGGAAGAATGTAATTTGATAAAGAGAGTGGTAGATAAAGGAAAAGAAGGAAAGAATGAGGAAAGAAAGAAAATGTAATTTGATAAAGAGAGGGATAAAGAAGAAGGAAAAGAAGGAAAGAATGAGGGAAGGGAAAGAAAGTAATTTGATAAAGAGAGTGGCAGATAAAGGAAAAAGAGAAAGAATGTAATTTGATAAAAAGATAGATAAAGGAAAGAAGGAAAGAATGAGGGAAAGAAAGAAGAATGTAATTTGATAAAGAGAGTGGTAGATAAAGGAAAGAAGGAAAGAATGAGGGAAAGAAAGAAGAATGTAATTTGATAAAGAGAGTGGTAGATAAAGGAAAGAAGGAAAGAATGAGGGAAAGAAAGAAGAATGTAATTTGATAAAGTGGCAGATGAAGGGAAAAAGAATGAAGGAAAGAAGAATGTAATTTGATAAAGAGAGTGGGAAAGAAAGAAGAGGAAAAGAATGGGGAAAGAGAAAAGGGTAATTTTGATAAAGAGAGAAATGAAGGAAAGAATGAGGAAAAAGAAAGTAAGAATGTAATTTGACAAAGAGAGTGGCAGATAAAGGAAAGAAAGGAAGAATGAGGGAAAGAAAAAGAATGTAATTTGATAAAGAGAGTGGTAGATAAAGGAAAGAAGGGAAAGAATGAGGGAAAAGAAAGAAGAATGTAATTTGATAAAGAGAGATAAAGGGGAAAGAAGGAAAGAATGAGGGAAAGAGAAGAATTTACCACAGAGAGTGGCAAAGATAAAGGAAAGAAAAGGAAAGAATGAGGGAAAGAAAGAAGAATGTAATTTGACAAAAGAGAGGGCAGATAAAGGAAGAAGGAAGAATGAGGAAAGAAAAGAAGAATGTAATTTGATAAAAGTGGTAGATAAAGGAAAGAAAAAAAATGAGGAAAGAAAGAAGAATGTAATTTGATAAAGAGAGTGGTAGATAAAGGAAAGAAGGAAAGAAATGAGGGAAAGAAAGAAGAATGTAATTTGATAAAGAGAGGGTAGATAAAGGAAAGAAGGAAAAAGAAAATAATTTGAGGGGAAAGAAAGCAGATAAAGGAAAGAAGGAAGAAAGGGAAAGAAAGAAGAATGTAATTTGATAAAGGAGTGGCAGATGAAGGAAAAGAATGAGGGAAAGAAAGTGAATTTGATAAAAAGAGAGTGGCAGATAAAGGAAAGAAGGAAAAGAATGAGGAAAGAAAGAAAGAAATAGAATTTGACAAAGAGAGATGGTAGATAAAGGAAAAAAAGAAGAAAAGAATGAGGGAAAGGAAAGAAGAATGAAAATAATTTGATAAAAAGGGAGATAAAGGAAAGAAGGAAAGAATGGGGAAAGAAAGAAGAAATGTAATTTGATAAAGAGTGGCAGATAAAGGAAAGAAGGGAAAGAATGAGGGAAAAGAAAGAAGAAATGAATTTGATAAAGAGTGTGGCAGATAAAGGAAAGAATGAGGAAGAAGAAGAATTTGTTGACAAAGAGAGTGGCAGATAAAGGAAAGAAGGAAAGAATGAGGAAAGAAAAGAAGAATGTAATTTGATAAAAGAGAGGTAGATAAAGGAAAGAAGGCAGGAAAGAAAAAGAAATTTGATAAAAGAGAGTGGCAGATAAAGGAAAGAAGGAAAAAATGAGGAAAGAAAGAAGAATGTAATTTGATAAAGAGTGGCAGATAAAGGTTAATGAGGAAAGAAAGAATTTGATAAAGAGAGTGGCAGATAAAGGAAAGAAGGAAAGAATGAGGAAAGAAAGAAGAATGTAATTTGATAAAAGAGAGGCAGATAAAAGGAAGGAAGAGGGAAAAGAAAGTAATTTGAGGGAGGAAGAGAAGAAGAATGTAATTTGATAAAGAGAGTGAAAGATAAAAGAAAGAAGGAAAGAATGATTGGGATAAAGGAAAAATGAAAGAAGAAATAATTTGATAAAGAGAGTGGTAGATAAAGGAAAGAATGAGGGAAGAAGTAAGAATGTAATTTGATAAAGAGATTGGCAGATAAAAGGGAGAAGGAAAAATGAGGGAAAAGAAAGTTGAATAAAGATTTGATAAAAGAGTAGGAAAGATAAAGGAAAGAAGAATGTAATTTGAGAGAGAGATAAAGGAAAGAAGGAAAAAAGGGAGGAAAGAGAGAATGGAATTTGATAAAGAAAGAATACAAAGGGAAAAGAAAGAAAAAAGAAGAATTTGATAAAGAGAGGTAGATAAAGGAAAGAAGGAAAGAATGAGGAAAAGAAAGAAGAATGTAATTTGATAAAAGAGTGGCAGACAAAGGAAAGAAGGAAAGAATGAGGAAAGAAAGAAGAAAGTAACTTGATAAAGAGAGGCAGATAAAGGAAAGAAGGAAAGAATGAGGGAAAGAAAGAAGAATGTAAGAATATTATAAAGAGAGTGGCACGATGAGGTTTTGAATGGATGAAAGAAAAGGAACTGGCTTAAATAGAGTGGCAGAAAAAGGCAGCTGAAAGAAATGAGGGAAAAGAATGAAGAATGTAACTTTTAAAGAGAGGGCAGATGAAGGGAAAGAATGAGGGAAAGAAAAAGAAGTTTGATAAAGAGAGTATAGACAAAGGAAAGAAGGAAAGAATGAGGGAAAAGAAAGAAGGTTTTGATAAAGGAGGATAAAGGAAAGAAGGAAAGAATGAGGGAAAGAAAGAACATAATTTGAAAAAGAGAGTGGTAGATAAAAGGAAACAATGAAAGAAAGAGGATAAGAAAAGAAGAATCTGATAAAGACAGATAAAGGAAAAAGGAAAGAATGAAATTTCTAAGAATATTATAGGAAAAGACGGGTGATAAAGGTAAAGAAGAAAGAATGAGGGAAAGAAAGAAGATCTGCTAAGAATATTATAGACCGAGTAGATAAAGGAAAGAATGAAAAAGAATGTGGATGAAAACAAAGCTGATATATTTAACAGGAAAGAAGGCTGAATTTTCTGGAAACAATGAAAAAGAATGTAATTGGAGAAAGAGTCTCTGGGTAGAATAGAAGGAAAGAAGAAGGAAAAGAATATTATAGACCGAGCGTGTGGCAGTAACGATGAGGTTTTGAAGTGGATGAAACAAGGAGCTGGCTTATATTTAACATCAGGAAAAGGCAGCTGAAATTTCTAGGGAAACAATGAAAAAAAGAAAAGGAGAATCTGATACTCACAGGTCGAATAGAGGGAAAGAAAGAAGTCTGCTAAGAATATTATAGACTGAGCGTGAAAAAAAGTAACGATGAGGTTTTGAGGTTTTGGATGAAAACAAGGAGCTGGCTTATATTTAACATCAGGAAAAGGCAGCTAAAATTTCTAGGAAACAATGAAAAAGACGGCTTGGAGAATCTGATAAACAGGTCGAATAGAGGAAAGAAAAAGATTATAGACCAGCTAAGAATATCTGAGGTTTTGAAAAGAGGTTTAAGGATGAAAACAAGGAGAAGAGCTGAAATTTCTAGGAAACAATGAAAAAGACGGCTTGGAGAATCTGATACTCACAGGTCGAATATTAAAAAAAGAAAGTCTGCTAAGAATATTATAGACAAGAGTAAGTAACGATGAGGTTTGAGTGGATGAAAACAAAGGACTGGCTTATATTTAACATCAGGAAAAGGCAGCTGAAATTTCTAGGAAACAATGAAAAAAAGATGGCTTGGAGAATCTGATACTCACAGGTCGAATAGAGGAAAGAAGAAGTTCTGCTAAGAATATTATAGACCGAGCGTGTAAGTAACGATGAGGTTTTGAAGTGGATGAAATCAAGGAACTGGCTTATATTTAACATCAGGAAAAAGGCAGCTGAAATTTCTATGAAAAAAAGAGCTTGAAATCTGAACTCACAGGTCGAAAGAAAGAAGGAAATCTTTGAAAAAGAAGAGGAGAATCGAATAGGAAAAGAAGTCTGCTAAGAATATTTAGACCGGAAAAACAACGGAGTTTTTTGGATATTTAACATCAGGAAAAGAAAGCAGCTGAAATTTCTAGGAAACAATGAAAAAAGATGGCTTGGAGAATCTGATACTCTACAGGTCGAATAGGGAAAGAAAGGTCTGCTAAGAATATTATAGACCGAGCGTGTAAAAAGTAACGATGAGGTTTTGAAGTGGATGAAAACAAGGAGCTGGTATATATTTAACATCAGGAAAAGGCAGCTGAATTTTCTAGGAAAACAATGAAAAAGATGGCTTGGAGAATCTGATACTCACAGGTCGAATAGAGGGAAAGAAAGAAGTCTGCTAAGAATATTATAGACCGAGCGTGTAACGATGAGGTTTGAATGGATGAGGGCTGGCTTATATTTAACAAGGAGCATGAAATGGATGAAACAATGAAAAAGGGCTTGAAATCTTTCGAACATCTGACTAAGAAAAGACCGGCGGAAAAGGCAAGAATTTCTAGGAAACAATGAAAAAGACGGCTTGGAGAATCTGATACTCACAGGTCGATCGAAAGAAAGAAGTCTGCTAAGATATTATAGACCGAGCGTGTAAGTAACGATGAGGTTTGAAGTGGATGAAAACAAGGAGCTGGCTTATATTTAACATCAGGAAAAGGCAGCTGAAATTTCTAGGAAACAATGAAAAAAGACGGCTTGGAGAATCTGATACTCACAGGTCGAATAGAGGGAAAGAAAAGTCTGCTAAGAATATTATAGACCGAGCGTGTAAGTAACGATGAGGTTTTGAAGTGGATGAAAACAAAGAATGGCATATATTTAACATCAGGAAAAGGCAGCTGAAATTTCTAGGAAACAATGAAAAAGACGGCTTGGAGAATCTGATACTCACAGGTCGAATAGAGGGAAAGAAAGAAGTCTGCTAAGAATATTATAGACCGAGCGTGTAAGTAACGATGAGGTTTTGAAGTGGATGAAAACAAGGAGCTGGCTTTTATATTTAACATCAGGAAAAGGCAGCTGAAATTTCAGGAAACAATGAAAAAGACGGCTTGGAGAATCTGATACTACAGGTCGAATAGAGGAAAGAAAGAAAAGACAGGTCGAATAGAGGGAAAGAAAGAAGTCTGCTAAGAATATTATAGACCGAGCGTGTTAACGATGAGGTTTTTGAAGTGGATGAAAACAAAGGAGCTGCTTATTTAACATCAGGAAAAGGCAGCTGAAATTTCTAGGAAAACAATGAAAAAGATGGCTTGGAGAATCTGATACTCACAGGTCGAATAGAGGGAAGAAAGAAGTCTGCTAAGAATATTATAGACCGAGCGTGTAAGTAACGATGAGGTTTTGAAGTGGATGAAAACAAGGAGCTGGCTTATATTTAACATCAGAAAAAGGCAGCTGAAATTTCTAGGAAACAATGAAAAAAGACGGCTTGGAGAATCTGATACTCACAGGTCGAATAGAGGAAAGAAAGAAGTCTGCTAAGAATATTATAGACCGAGCGTGTAAGTAACGATGAGGTTTTGAAGTGGATGAAAACAAGGAGCTGGCATATATTTAACAAAAGGAAAAAGGCAGCTGAATTTAGGAAACAATGAAAAAAGATGGCTTGGAGAATCTGATACTGACAGGTCGAATAGAGGGAAAGAAAGAAGTCTGCTAAGAATATTATAGACTGAGCGTGTAAGTAACGATGAGGTTTTGAAGTGGATGAAAACAAGGAGCTGGCTTATATTTAACATCAGGAAAAGGCAGCTGAAAATTTCTAGGAAACAATGAAAAAAGATGGCTTTGAGAATCTGATACTCACAGGTCGAATAGAGGGAAAGAAAGAAGTCTGCTAAGAATATTATAGACCGAGCGTGTAAGTAACGATGAGGTTTGAAGTGGATGAAAACAAGGAGCTGGCTTATATTTAACATCAGGAAAAGGCAGCTGAAATTTCTAGGAAACAATGAAAAAGACGGCTTGGAGAATCTGATACTCACAGGTCGAATAGAGGGAAAGAAAGAAGTCTGCTAAGAATATTATAGACCGAGCGTGTAAGTAACGATGAGGTTTTGAAGTGGATGAAAACAAGGAGCTGGCTTATATTTAACATCAGGAAAAGGCAGCTGAATTTTCTAGGAAACAATGAAAAAAGATGGCTTGGAGAATCTGATACTCACAGGTCGAATAGAGGGAAAGAAAGAAGTCTGCTAAGAATATTATAGACCGAGCGTGTAAGTAACGATGAGGTTTTGAAGTGGATGAAAACAAGGAGCTGGCTTATATTTAACATCAGGAAAAGGCAGCTGAAATTTCTAGGAAACAATGAAAAAGACGACTTGGAGAATCTGATACTCACAGGTCGAATAGAGGGAAAGAAAGAAGTCTGCTAAGAATATTATAGACCGAGCGTGTAAGTAACGATGAGGGTTTTGAAGTGGATGAAAACAAGGAGCTGGCTTATATTTAACATCAGGAAAAGGCAGCTGAAATTTCTAGGAAACAATGAAAAAGATGGCTTGGAGAATCTGATACTCACAGGTCGAATAGAGGGAAAGAAAGAAGTCTGCTAAGAATATTATAGACCGAGCGTGTAAGTAACGATGAGGTTTTGAAGTGGACGAAAACAAAGAGCTGGCTTATATTTAACATCAGGAAAAGAAGGCTAAATTTCTAGGAAACAATGAAAAAAGATGGCTTGGAGAATCTGATACTCACAGGTCGAATAGAGGGAAAGAAAGAAGTCTGCTAAGAATATTATAGACCGAGCGTGTAAGTAACGATGAGGTTTTGAAGTGGATGAAAACAAGGAGCTGGCTTATATTTAACATCAGGAAAAGGCAGCTGAAATTTCTAGGAAACAATGAAAAAAGACGGCTTGGAGAATCTGATACTCACAGGTCGAATAGAGGGAAAGAAAGAAGTCTGCTAAGAATATTATAGACCGAGCGTGTAAGTAACGATGAGGTTTTGAAGTGGATGAAAACAAGGAGGCTTATATTTAACATCAGGAAAAAGGCAGCTGAATTTCAGGGAAACAATGAAAAAGATGGCTTGGAGAATCTGATACTCACAGGTCGAATAGAGGGGAAAGAAAGAAGTCTGCTAAGAATATTATAGACCGAGCGTGTAAGTAACGATGAGGTTTTTGAAGTGGATGAAAACAAGGAGCTGGGTTTTATATTTAACATCAGGAAAAGGCAGCTGAAATTTCTAGGAAACAATGAAAAAAGATGGCTTGGAGAATCTGATACTCACAGGTCGAATAGAGGAAAAAGAAAGAAGTCTGCTAAGAATATTATAGACCGAGCGTGTAAGTAACGACGAGGTTTTGAAGTGGATGAAAACAAGGAGCTGGCTTATATTTAACATCAGGAAAAAGGCAGCTGAATTTTTCTAGGAAACAATGAAAAAAGATGGCTTGGAGAATCTGATACTCACAGGTCGAATAGAGGAAAAAGAAAGAAGTCTGCTAAGAATATTATAGACCGAGCGTGTAAGTAACGATGAGGTTTTGAAGTGGATGAAAAAGGAGCTGGCTTATATTTAACATCAGGGAAAAGGCAGCTGAAATTTCTAGGAAACAATGAAAAAGATGGCTTTGAGAATCTGATACTCACAGGTCGAATAGAGGGAAAGAAAGAAGTCTGCTAAGAATATTATAGACCGAGCGTGTAAGTAACGATGAGGTTTTGAAGTGGATGAAAACAAAGGAGCTGGCTTATATTTAACATCAGGAAAAGGCAGCTGAATTTTCTAGGAAACAATGAAAAAAAGATGGCTTGGAGAATCTGATACTCACAGGTCGAATAGAGGGAAGAAAGAAGTCTGCTAAGAATATTATAGACCGAGCGTGTAGTAACGATGAGGTTTGAAGTGGATGAAAACAAGGAGCTGGCTTATATTTAACATCAGGAAAAGGCAGCTGAATTTTCTAGGAAACAATGAAAAAAAAGATGGCTTGGAGAATCTGATACTCACAGGTCGAATAGAGGAAAGAAAGAAGTCTGCTAAGAATATTATAGACCGAGCGGCAAGTAACGATGAGGTTTTTGAAGCTTTATGGATGAAAAAAAGGCAGCTGAATTTTTCTATTTAACATCAAAAAAAGGTTTGGAGCTGATAAAGGTTGAAGAGGGGAAACAATGAAAAGAATATTATTGAGAATCTGGATAAACAAGAGGTTGAATAGAGGGAAAGAAAGAAGTCTGCTAAGAGATGGCTTGAGAATTATAGAATAGAGGGAAAGAGAGGTCTGCTAAGAATATTAAGTAACGATGAGGTTTTGAAGTGGATGAAAACAAGGAGAGCTTATATTTAACATCAGGAAAAGGCAGCTGAATTTTAGGAAACAATGAAAAAGACGGTTTGAGAATCTGATACTCACAGGTCGAATAGAGGGAAAGAAAGAAGTCTGCTAAGAATATTATAGACCGAGCGTGTAAGTAACGATGAGGTTTTGAAGTGGATGAAAACAAGGAGCAATTTTATATTTAACATCAGGAAAAGGCAGCTGAAATTCTAAGAAACAATGAAAAAGACGGCTTGGAGAATCCTGATACTCACAGGTCGAATAGAGGGAAAGAAGAAGTCAGCTAAGAATATTATAGACCGAGCGTGTAAGTAACGATGAGGTTTTTGAAGTGATGAAAACAAGGAGCTGGCTTATATTTAACATCAGGAAAAGGCAGAAAATTTTCTAGGAAACAATGAAAAAGACGGCTTGGAGAATCTGATACTCACAGGTCGAATAGAGGGAAAGAAAGAAGTCTGCTAAGAATATTATAGACCGAGCGTGATAAAGTAACGATGAGGTTTTGAAGTGGATGAAAACAAGGAGCTGGCTTATATTTAACATCAGGGAAAAGGAAAAAGCTGGAAACAAGGAAACAATGAAAAAGAAATGATGGTTTGGAGAATCTGATAGGAAACAGGTCGAATAGAGGGAAAGAAAGAAGTTGATAAGAATATTATAGACCGAGCAAAGTAACGATGAGGTTTTGAAGTGGATGAAAACAAGGAGCTGGCTTATATTTAACATCGGAAAAGGCAGCTGAATTTAGGAAACAATGAAAAAGATGGCTTGAGAATCTGATACTCACAGGTCGAATAGAGGAAAGAAAGAAGTCTGCTAAGAATATTATAGAATGAGGCACGATGAGGTTTTGAAGTTTTTGAAGTGGATGAAAAAAGGAGCTGGCTTATATTTAACATCAGGAAAAGGCAGCTGAAATTTCTAGGAAACAATGAAAAAAGACGGTTTGGAGAATCTGATACTCACAGGTCGAATAGAGGGAAAGAAAGAAGAATAAGAATATTATAGACCGAGTGTAAGTAAGTAACGAGGTTTTGAAGCGGATGAAGGGAAGGAGCTGGCTTATATTTAACATCAGGAAAAGGCAGCTGGAAATTTTAGGAAACAAATGAAAAAAGACGGCTTGAGAATCTGATACTCACAGGTCGAATAGAGGGAAAGAAAAGAAGAGGCTGTTAATATTATAGACCGAGCGTGTAAGTAACGATGAGGTTTTTGAAGTGGATAAAAAAAGGAGCTGGCTTATATTTAACATCAGGAAAAGGCAGCTGAAGGGGAAACAATGAAAAAGATGGCTTGAGAATCTGATACTCACAGGTCGAAAGAGGGAAAAGGAGTCTGAAAGAATATTATAGACCGAGAATGTAATAACGAGAGGGTTTTAAACGATGAGGTTGAAAGGAATGGCTTATATTTAACATCAGGAAAAGGCAGCTGAAATTTCTAGAGAAAACAATGAAAAGACGACTTGGAGAATCTGAAGACAGGTCGAATAGAGGGAAAGAAAGAATCACAAGAATATTATAGAGAGAGGGCAGATAAAGTAACGATGAGGTTTTTTTTGAAGGATGAAACAAGGAGCTGGCTTATATTTAACAAAGAAAAAGGCAGCTGAAAGGAAACAATGAAAAAAGATGGCTTTGAGAATTTGATAACAGGTCGAATAGGAGGAAGAAAGAAGTCTGCTAAGAATATTAAAGAAATTGAGAATGTAATTAATGATGAGGTTTTGAAGTGGATGAAAACAAGGAGCTGGGTATATTTAACATCAGAAAAAAGGAGGAAAGCTGAAAATTACCTGAGAAAGGAAACAAGGTCGAATAGAGGGAAAGAAAGAGAATCTAAAGAACAAATAGGAGCGAGCAGTCGATGAGGAAGAAGAGGGAAAGAAAACAAGGAATTTGATTAACGATGAGGAAAAAGGCAGCTGAAATATCAGGAAAGGCAATGGAAAAAGAAAAAATTGGAGGATACTCACAGGTCGAATAAAGGAAAGAAAGAAGTCTGCTAAGAATATTATAGACCGAGCGTGTAAGTAACGATGAGGTTTTTGAATGATGAAAACAAGGGAGCTGGCTTATATTAACATCAGGAAAAGGCAGCTGAATTTTTCTAGGAAACAATGAAAAAAGATGGCTTGGAGAATCTGATACCACAGGGAATAGAGGGAAAGAAGAAGTCTGCTAAGAATATTATAGACCGAGCGAAGTAACGAAGAGAAAAAGTGAAGAAACAATGAAAAGGAAAAAGGAAGCTGGCTTATATTTAACATGGCAGAGAATCTGAAAGGTCGAAGCTGAAGAAGAAGTCTGTTAAGAAAGAAAAAGAAAAGAAGAAAGATGAAAGAAGCAGATGAAAGGAAAAAGAAAATTTAAATGAGGGAAAGAAAGAAGAAAGTAATGAAAATTGAAATAGATCAAGAGAATCTGAAAGAAAATTTTGGAATAGAGGAAAAGAAGGAGCTGAAATATTTTAACTTAGGAAAAACAGCTGAATTTTTCAGGAAACAATGAAAAGATGTTAATTTGAGAATCTGATACCACAGGTCGAATTTAGGAAAGAAGGAAAGAATCTTTTAAATTATAGACCGAATGTAATTTGATAATGAGGTTTTAAGGAGAAAAAGGAGAAAGAAGGAAATGAATAAAGGGGAAAAGGTAGAATTTCAACTGAAACATTTGAAAAAGATGGTGGGAGATCTTGGCAAGAATGAGGAAAGAAAGAAAGAAATTTGATAACTGGAGTAAATGGCAGAGGTTTTACAGCAAGAATGGAAAAAAATGAGCCAAAAGGAGAAGAATTTAGACTTGAAAAGAGAGCTGAATTTCTAGGAAAGAAAAAAAAATGGCTTGAAAGAACTTGATGGTGGTTTTCCGAATAGAGTGAAAGGAAAGCTTTCTGGAAAGAATATTAAGACCGTACTGATAAAGAGAGGGCAGAGTGGATGAAAAGAATGCTTATAGGGAAAAAAAAGAAATTTGAAAAACTGAAAAGATGGCTTGATATCTGAAAAGAAGGTCGAATAGAGGGAAAGAAAGAAGAAATGTATTTGATAAAGAGAGAGGGGTGATGAAGGAGAAGGGTAGCTGAGGAAAGAAAGAAGAAATACTTGATAAAGAGAGTGGCAGATGAAGGAAAGAATGAGGAGAAAGAATGTACTTGATAAAGAGAGTGGGTGAAGGAAGGAAAGAATGAGGAAAGAAAGAATGTACTCTGATAAAGAGAGGGCAGATGAAGGAAGAACAGGAAAGAAAGAAGAATGTACTTGACAAAGAGAGTGGCAGATGTGAAGGAAAGAATGAGGGAAAGAGAAGAATGTACTTGATAAAGAGAGTGGCAGATAATGTTAAATTTAGAAACCAACTTAGAAAGAACTAAAATTTGATAAAGTTTTAGAGGGCAGATAATTAGAATGGAAAAGAATAAGGGAAAAGAAAGAAGAATTTTTTTTTCTCAAAGAGAGTGCACACCTATAGGAAATTTTTTCTTGAATGAAGGAAAGAAAGAAGAATGTACTTGATAAAGAGATTGGCTAGATTTTAAGGAAAAAGAAGGAAAGAATGAGGGAAAATGAAAAGAAGAATATTATTCTGAAAAAGACTTAATATTAGATCAAGCAAACAAAAATAAGGAAAAAGGAGGAAATTATTTTCAGTCAACTTTGATCTTCAAAGATTCAAGGTTTTGTCTTGGATTTAGGAATATATATAGAATTATTATATATATATATATAGAATATATATATATATATTATATAATTATAAAGAGATATATATGAAGTCCAAAGAACAGGGAAACAAAAAGAACATATTTGATAAATAGAGGGCAGATGAACAAAAATAAATTAGGAAAGAAAGAAAAATGTACTACAAAGAAAACAACATGATAAAGGAAAACGAGGAAAGATTTTCAAAATGTCCTTTGACAAACAATGGCTGAACTCCAACCAGCAACAGATGAAGATATATTTCTAAATTAATTTCTAGGAAATAAAAGTTGTTTTAATTCTTGAATTTGTTTTTGTTTTGTTGAAGATCTTTCAGAATGAGGACAAGAGGGAAGTCTGTTATTTTAAAGAGAGTAATTATGATGGACACCAATTGAGGGAAAGAAGCCCCTATTGACCAAAGAGAGTGGCAGATTTAACCAGAAGGAAAGAATGAGGGTGAAAGAAGAAATGTAATCAGATAAAGAGGGTGGACAGCCAAGGAAGAAGAAGGAAATATATGAGGGAAAGAAAAGAAGAATGTAATGATAAAGAGAGTTGTAGTATGATAAAGGAAAGGTTGAGGAAAAGAATGAGGAAAGAAAGAAAGATGGAAATTTGGATAAAGAGAGAAAGATAGGATGCAAGAAGGAAAGAATGAGGGAAAAGAAAAAGAAGAATGTATTTGATGCCAAAAGGTATTGAAGGAAAGAAGGAAAAAATGAGGAGAAAGAAAAGAAGAATGTAAGGGTTTTTAATATTAAAGAGTGTCAGATCATTTAATATGTTCTGAAAGAAGGAAAGAAATGAGGGAAAGAAAAGAATGTACTTTGATAATTTGATTGGTAGAAATGAGGAAAGAAGGAAAGAATGAGGGAAAATGTGAATAAATTCCTTGTTGGATAAAAGACACATTTTGCGACATTATCAAGGAAAGATTGAGGGAAAGAATCCAGAATGTATTTTAATAAAGAGAGGTAGATGATTTATTTAAGGAAAAGAATGAGTGTAAAATCCTCAAAATTGATTTTTTAAAGAGAGCCTTCTTATTAAGGAAAACCCTGAAAGAATAAAGGGAAAGAAATTTTAATTTTTAACTTTGACAAAGATTTTTTTAAATTAAAAGAAAAAAAAAATGATAAATCTGAAAAGTTTTCGAAGACAACATAAATTGGGAAAGAGCTGATATTTTAAAAAGGAAGACAAATGAGGAAAAGAAAAAAAATTTGTTTTGAAAGCAAGAGACTGGCAGATAAAAAAAAGAAAAGGAAAAAAAAAGAAATGTAATTTGATTTAGAGAGGGTGTATAAAATTGATGAGGGAAGGTTAAACATTAAAACAAACAAATATAAGAGGGCAGGATGAAGGAAAGAATGGGAGGGAAAGAAGAAGAATTTCTTTTAAAGAGAGTCAGAGATAAAGCAAAGAATGAGGGAAAAATTATACTAGGTTCTCAAAGAGAGTGGCAGATAAAGGAAAGAAGGAAATGTCATTCTATTTCCAAGAGGGGAAAAGAAAGGAAGTATCTTCAAAATAGATTATTGAAAATCTTTCATTCTTTCCAAGAGAGGGCAGAGTATTTGGAAAATTTGAAAGAAATCATTTTAATATCCTGATGAATCTAATTCTTGTTAATGACTGAATAAGATGATGACCGATAAAATGAGGAAAAAAGAAGAATCGCATTGTTAAAACACCAATGGTAAACTGACCTGAAGGAAAAGACCTTTTCACCTAGGAAGGCATTCATTAAAGGTTTTAGATACCAATAATGAATCACTAGACAAAGAAATGAAATTTGTTTAAGAGAGTGTAGATAAAGCTAACTAGGAAAGAATGCAGGATGGAAAGAAGTTGTAATTTGACAAAGACCTCCAGATGAAGTAGTGAAAGAAAGTGCAGAAGAAAGGACTTGACAAAGAAAATGCAAGACAAAATGAAGGGTCGTAGAGGGAAAGGATGAAAGCTAATTTGACAAATTGAGGCAGATAAAGGAAAAATGAGGGAAGGTGGAAATGATAAAGAGAAAGAGAAGATTGTTTTTAAAAACAAGAACAATGAAAGAAGAAATGTATTACAAAGGAGACTATTCCAATAATTCAAAAAAAGAAGGAAAATGGGGAAAAGAAAAAGAAAAATTTGGAAAAAGAAAGAAAGAAGTTGAAGAAAAGAATGGGAAAAACTATTTTTTTAAACATGCCAGTAGAGTAAAGATTGGTGATCAAGAGTTATGAAGGAAAAATTTATGACACCGATGCAAAATAGTATGATAAAATGAAACATTTAACTTAGATAAAAAAAAATGAGGAAAAGAAAGACAGAATGCTAGTGAATTAAAGAGAATTTTGAGCTTGAAAAGTGGAGAATGAGGGATTTGAAAGTTTGTAATTTGATAAAGAGAGGGCGATAAAGGAAATCTAAAAGAATGCTTTTTAAAGAATTTATGAAGATTGATAAAGAGAATCGGGTAAAGGAAAGAATAAAAGGGAAAAAATGAAAGAAACAAAGAAGAATGTATTTGATAAATTTAGGCTTGGAAAGAAGAAAGAAAAGAATGAGAAAAAAGAATTTTTTTTGATAAAGAGAGTGGTAGATAAAGGAAAGAAGGAAAAATGAGGGAAGAAAAAAACCAGCCAAAAGTGGTAAAGATAGAAGGAAAGAAGGAAAGAATGAGGGAAAGAAAAAAAGAATGTACTGGATAAAGAGAGTGGTTCCTGAAAGAAGGAAAGAAATGGAGGGAAAGAAAGAAGAATGTAAAACAAAGAAGGTAGACAAAAAAGAAGGAAAGAATGAGGAAAGAAAGAAAATGTGTCTTGACAAAAGAGGCAGACAAAGGAGAAAAGAAAGAATGAGGGAAAGAAAGAAGAATTTGTACTTTGATAAAGAAGGCAAAAAGGAAAAAGGAAAGAATGGGGAAAGAAAGAAGAATTTAATGTAAAAAGAAAAGAATGAGGAAAAATACCTGAAAAAAAAGGAAAGAAAAGGAAAGAATGAGGGAAAGAAAGAAGAATGTAATTTGACAAAAGAAGAAAAAGAAAGAAAAGGAAAGAAAGGAAAAGAGAAGAGAAAGGAAAGGGAAAGAGGGAAAGAAAGAAAAATGAAAGAAAGAAAGAATTTGAGGATAAAAAGAATTAAAAGAAAGAAAAAAAGAAAAAAAAGAATGAGGGAAAGAAAAGAAGAATGAAAAAAAGAAATTGGAGATAAGGAAAGAAAGAAAAAGGAAAAGAGGGAGGAAAGAAAGAAAATGAGGGAAAGAAAGTAATTTGATAAAGAGAGTGAAAGAAAAAGGAAAGGGAAAAGAAAGAAAAGAATGATAAAAAAGAAAGAAAAAGATTTGAAAAGAGAGGGAGATAAAGAAAGGAAAGGAAAAGGTAATTTTGAAAGAATAAAAGAAAAGAAGAGTACAAAAAGAAAGAAAAAGGGAAAATTTAAAGAATGAGGGAAAGAAAGAAGAAATTTGATAAAAGAGAGTGCATTTGGAAGGAAAGAATGAGGAAAAAAGAAAGGAATTTGATTTTTTTTATGAAGATAAAGAAAGAAGGGAAAGAATGAGGAGAAAGATTCTTAAAATGTAATTTGATAAGAAAAGAAAGGAAAGAAAGAGGGAAAAAAAGAAAGAATCAAATTGAAAAAAGAAAAAAAGAGAGAAAAAAGGAAAGAAGGAAAGAATGAGGAAAAAGTCTTGAGGGAAACAATTTGATAAAGAGAAAAGGGATAAAGAAAAGAAGGAAAGAAAAGGGAAATAAAGAAGAAATTAAGTTGATAAAATAAATAAATAAAGAAAGAAAGAAAAGAGAGGGAAAGAAAGAAGAATGTAATTTCCAAAGAGAGTGGTAAACAAAGTGCAAAAGAAAGAAAAGAAATGAGGAAAAAGAAAGAAGAATGTTAATTTGAAAGAAGAAAAGAAAGGAAAAAAAAAGAAAAACAAAAGAATTATGAAAAAGAAACAAAGGAAAAAGGAAAGAAGAGGGAAAAGAAAGAAAGAAGGTTCAATACAAAAAAAGGAAGGAAAGAAAAAGAAAAGAAAGAGAAATAGTTGAAAGAAAGAAAGAATTTAAAAGAAATTGCTTGTTTTAATTTGAAAGAAAGAGGAGAAAGAAAGAAAGAAAGAAAGAAAAGAATAAAGAGAAGGAAAGAATGAGGGAAAGAAAGTCTAGTAATTTGAAAGAAAGAAGTGGCAGATGAAGGAAAGAAGGAAAGAAGGAAAAAGAAGAATGAAATTGACAAAGAGAGTGGCAGGGAAAAGGAAAGAAAAGGGAAAGAAAGAAGAATGTGTTTTGAAAAGAGAGGAGATAAAGGAAAGAACCTGGAGGGGAAAGAAAGTAATGAAGAAAAGGGCAGGGTGAAGTTAAGAAAGAAAAGAATAGACAGAGACAGAAAGGAAAAAAAGGAATGAAATGGAAAAAGAGAGGGGATGAAGGAAAGAAAGGGAAAGAAAGGAATTTGAAAATTCCAAATAAATAAGAAAGGAAAGAAAAGGAAGAATGTAATTTGAAAAGGAGGAGGGGAAAGAAGGAAAGAAAGAAGGAGAAGAAAGAAAGAAAAGAAGGGGAAGGGTTTTAATTTGATAAAGAGAGTCAGGGAAAGAATGTTCTCTGAAAGGAGGAGGGGAAAGAAAGAAAGAAAGAATGAAAGAATGGGAAAGAAAGAGAATGAAAGATAAAGTGGAAAGGAAAGAATGAAGGGAAAGAATGTGAAGAAAGAACTCATCAAAAAAATTAAAGAGGGAAAGAAAGAAAGGAAAAGAAAATGAGGGAAAAGAAAAAGAACTGAAATTTGATAAAGAGAGTGGCAGATAAAGGAAAGAAGGAAGAAAGAAAGAAAAAGAACTTCAAAAAAGAGAAAGGAAAGAAGGAAAGAATGAGGAAAGAAAAAGAATGTAATTTGATAAAGAGAAGAAAGATTAAAGAAAAGAATGAGGGAAAGAAAGAAGAAATGTAATTTGAAAAAGATTATTTTAAAGGAAAGAAGGAAAGAAAAAAAAAAAAAAGAAGAATGTAAAAAAAAAGAGGGTAGATAAAGGAAAGAAAGAAAGAAAGGAAGAAAGAAAGAAAGAAAAAGAAAGAAGAAAAAGAAAAGAAAAAAAGAATGAGGAAAGAAAGAAAGAAGTAAAAAAAAAAATAAAGGAAAAAAGGAAAGAATGAGGGAAAGAAAGAGGAATGTTTGATAAAGAGAGAAAAGAAAAGGAAAATGAGAAAGAAAGAAAAAGAGAGGGACAAAGGAAAGAAAAGAAAATTGGATAAAAAAGAAGATAAAGAAAAGTGGCAGGGAAGGAAAGAAAGAAGAATTTTTTTTGATATGAAAAGAGAGTGGGTGATGAAAGAAAGGAAAAGAGAAAAAAGAAAGAAGAATGTCAAAATTTGATAAAGAGAGTGGAAGATAAAGGAAAAGAGAATAGTTGGGAAGATTGTATTTGAAAAAAGGCAGATAAAGGAAAGAAGGAAAGAATGAGGAAAAAAAAAGAAGAATGAATTTGAAAAAGAGAGAATAGTTAAAGGAAAGAAGGAAAATTTGGAAAGAAAGAAAGGTTTTTGATAAAAAGGAAAAGAAAATAAAGAATGAAAAGAAAGAAGAATGTACTGATAAAGAGAGGCAGATAAAGAAAGAAGAAAGAATGGAAAGAAAAAGAAACTTGAGAAAGAATTTAGAAAGAAAAGGAAAAGAAAGGGAAAGAAAGAAATTTGAAAAAGAGAGTGGCAGAAAAGAAAGGAAAGAAAGGAAAGAAAGAAGAATAGTTTGAGAAAAAGAAAATGAAGGAAAGAAAAGAAAGTTTGAATTTTCTGGAAAGGAAAAGAAAGAAAGAAAAGAAAAGAAGAATGACAATTTGGAAAAAAAGAAAGTTGAAGAAAAAAGAAGGAAAAACAAATTTGGAAAAGAAAGGAAAAAGAATGAATTCACAAAAGGAATTGGTCGTA